CATTCGCCCAGCCGCAGCCGCAGCGGCAGTGGCGGCCGCGCTCCCGGCTCGCAGCGAAGCAGAGACACCAGGAGGCGGCGGGGGTATAGTACTGGAAGCACAGGGCGTGCGGAGTGAAGTCAGGCTGATTGACAGAGGCGCTGCCACACGGCGCAGCCGGGGCCGCGGGGAGCGGGGACGGGCCGCGGGGAGCGGGGCCGGGACCGCCCGCCCCGCCGGGGCAGCCCCCGCGCCGCCCCCGCCGGGCTTCCCCGGCCGGCACCGCCCGCCGCTCCCCCGCTCCGGGACGGGGCCCGCCGGCGGGGACGGGACTTGGCAGAAGGCGCTTTTTGAGGCAAAAAAGAAACGCCCCCGCACCGGGCTCGGGACCCCCGGGCGTTGGGGCAGCGTCTCGCTGCCGAGCCCCGAGGGCTGCTCCGTCCCGGCTCCCGGCTGTGCATCCACTGGTGGTCAAGAACACCAGAGACAGACAAGGGAAACTTAAAGCATCTCGGAGCGAGTTTTGTTGGAATCTTGGTTTCTAGTTGACAGCAAGGACCCAAATGGAAAAAGTGCCATCAGCAGAGGCAAGCCACAATCAGAGATCATTATCTGATCTGATAAATTAACTCTAAGCAGCCATTTCACACGAAAAATTGCTTGGACTATTAGCTAATAAGACTGAAATTACTCGCTGCAAAGCCATCTTATATTAAATATCTGCAATTAGAGAGATAGACCCTGAAAGTGTTTAGGAATACTATAAATGAGATATAGAAGAACATTTTTTAAAATTATATAGAAGAAGATTTTTTTAAATTATTAAAGAATCAAGAGTGGCCTTTATGGAAAAAAACAAGTTATATTTGTTTCCATATGGCCAGGATAAATGCCATATCGCTTATTCCCTTCAGATAATGTATGTATTTACTCAGCTGTTTCATTACTTGGATCATCTGCTGCTTTCACCACTTTACTCTTCAACCTTGCAGAATCCTATCTGCCCTTCTCATGCTCCCGCTGGTCCTGCCAGCCCATGGCCTTACCTGCCACGGGCTGATTCACACTGTACCTGCATGTGTTATACCCCTCTGGAAATCCACATGCAATGGCTTCCTGCGGGAAGCTGGTCCTCTGCCAAGGAATTTTCCTGGGTATCCATGACTATTCTTTCTCCTTTGTGACTAAAGTTCCAATTATTACCTTCCATCCCTACATTATGGACACAGGTGAAGGCTATAGAAATAAAATAACAGCAAGCCAGTCTGCTCACTGCCCATGATGAGGTTTTATGGACTCCAGCCCTGGTCAGTTATGGCAGCACCTGATTTCTGCTTGCTTGGTTTGATGTTCTGGTTTGGTTTTCTCACTTTTTAGGTTAAGAATAAAACAGGAAAGATTATTCTGAATAATGGAGTAGATCAATTTGTACATTGCATTCAAACATCCCTTTGCTTATCATTTCAAATGACCTCTGTTTGGGATTGCTATCTGCACCAGGCTTCTCCCAGTTCTTCCTTTTGGTTTGGTTTTCTCTTGGCTCATTTTTTTGTTTTCTTTTGGTTTTGAGTCCATATTGAGCAGCTTCTCTTACTTAAAATCTCATATACTTTCATCAGTACACAGCTGGTAAAGTTCCAACTTCATTTTTATTGGACTTGTATTTTAAGCTGATGATGTGGCTTTTTTATGTTCCATCCATCCCATCCTGCTCAAATTGAAATAACTTCTGCACATAAACTTGAAAGGGAGAGGGGATGGTCCTCTATATCTGAAATCAAAGTTCTTGTTTGTACATCATGTATCCAGAAAAAAACAAGGACACAGAGTAGGTTATAGAAATACAAAACAATCTAGCCAATACTTCTGCTAATTAAGATGGATTTTTACTCTTGAAAATACCGGAGGTTAGAAAACATGCTTTAATATGGATAACAGCTGTACTGCAGAGTAATGATATAAACAAAAAGAAGCAGTAACTGCCTTCATGTAGTTTATTTCTATACAGAAACCAAGTCCTATGTGCACATTTGTTACCTTATCATACATGGACAAAAGCTCCGTGGGCTCCAGGGCTTGGGGGTACTGTTTTACCACCTTCTTTAAAGTGTTAAACAAAACTAATCTGAGAACAAGTCAAACAATGGAGCCAGATATGCCGTTGGTAAAATCTGTGCTTCCACTGAAGTCACTGGAATAAATCCTGATCCCCCACTGAAGTCAGTGAGAGTTTTGCCATTGACTTGAGCAGAGCCAAGATTTTCTGCAATAGATTCCCAGTGCCAATTTAGACCAACTGAGAATGTGCCACATGGCACAGCAATGGGCCCATTATCCTTCAAGAGGAAAAATGGATCCGTGTTTGACCCTGAGAAGGTGGTCCAGAGCATGCCAACCACCACAGAGCCTGGAGGAGTGAAATTCAAAAAGTTCTTACATCCCTACTCTTACAGCATCATAGCAGAGAAATTCAGGGAAATATCCTCACCAAAACCAGTTCTTCCCCATTTCCTGAACTAGAATTCTTGACACAGGCAGTCGAGGTTGTGGCCTGGGTTTCCTTGGTAGGACCTTGCCATGGCTGGCTCCAGCAAGATGTTTCAATTCCTTTTATAACTAACTAGAGAAAGTCAATGTGAAATGTAAGGACTGCTGCATTACTTATAGTCCCTGAACCTCTAAATTAAGGGATGTGAATGAAGTAAGGTCATATTTATTGGAATGAAGGGAGGAGGACTAGATAGTGCAACTGTGCACTATCTGAGTTTGATCTGAGGGCACGGCTGGGCTGCTGCCAGCCACGACTACAATCACACAGATGTTTGCCTTCACTGGATACAGGCATACAGAAAAGAGGAAACGGTGCTCTGTGTGTCCTGAATGAGTACCCAGGCTGAAGGAAAAGTGTTCTAGCAGCTTATGTTGAAATACCCAAAGCAGTTTTAAACAAGCTGAGGTACAAACAGCCCTATAACTGAACCAATGCGAAGTTCAGCACAGATCGACAGAGCATTTACTTGGATTTACAGATCTTCTAGTCCTCACCAAGTTTGTGCTATCTGTTCCTGTTCCAGCTAGGGTACATCTGCAAAAACTGCAGCCAGACCTTCCCTTGGAGATGTTCTGACAACATTTAATTTTGCTTAGGAAAATGAAAAGATCCTAAGCTTAAATCTTCAACCACTGCTGTGAAGGTGTTCAAAATACCACACTTATAACTGCTCATTGCAATGAGAAATCTTGCATTTGAAATTTCTAAGACCTCGCTGTTTTCAAGGGAAAATCACTCTTTTCCATACATTAATGGGGCTGTGAGGGGAGATGCTGTGCTGCAGCACTGTGCCTTCTGCAAAGGGGACATCATCACCTGAGCAGGTGACTTAGAGGCTGCTTACAGCCCTCATGACACAAAGTAGTCTGAGCTCCCAGGCTAGAGGCTCCCAGAAGGGGAGTTCTCAATCCTGACCTCCTGATGGAGAATGTGGTACTTGTCTGCACAAGGACTGTGTGTTACCTGCACTATGTTTCTCATGCATATGATTGTCTTTGCTCTCTCACCCTTAACTACTATGCACACTTTGTGGCTATGCAACGTTATAAAGCTTAATAAAAAAGAATTAAAATTAAAATAGGGTCCCAGTTCATTTCCTTCGCACTTGGCATTTCCAGGCTTCATATTGTTTGAACCCTTTTGCCATTACGTGCCACTATGATATACTACCTAGAAAAAAAAGCATGTATTTAATGCTGATTTTGAAGCAGTGCATGCTAAAGAGCAGTAATTAAAACTGGAACAGTCCTGCCTTTCCCCCCCTTTACTTTAGCACAGTAATGAAACAATCCATCACACAAAAAATAGTCCAATGCAACAATTAATAAATTACCAAATTATCAAGCTCTTGTTAATAATTTCACTTCCACTCCCTTTTTTAGAAAGTGCCAAAGAAATATTCTAAGGTAAGTAAAGTGATAATAAACTAAATTAAAGCAGTAGTATCCAGGTTAGTCACTTTGATTCCTGAAGTAAGAAATTAGGTAATATTACAAAACATTAAAATCTTTAAATGGTAGCTAATAAAATCCTGCCTTCAACAGCAAACTGTTGATTGAATGTATAAAAGAGAGGCATGCCCTCTGCCTGCCCATCCTGAGATTTCTGAGGACCAGCTCCTCAGCCCTTCCTAGGCATGCTCAAAGTGCCCAGACTCCTCAGGGCAGAGTCTTGGATGACTCTGCCGAGCCAGGAGCAGCACAGAACATGCCACGGAACTTCAGGGCCTTAAGGAACTTGACTGACAAAAAAACTTCAAGAGTTACACATTTTGAAGTCTGTCCCTGTTGGACTACGAGACTTCACTCTCCCTTTAGCTGTCTAAGGCGCAGATGTGCAGTCTTCCAAGGCGGAACAGAGCAGCAGAGGTTCCTCCCAACCTCGATCCGTGTGTCACTGCTGGGATACCTGCAGCCTGAGGCAGTAAAAAGGACAGGCCAAAAGATTAATCT